TAGCGGTATGGTGTCTTGTGTCACTATGTTAGAAAAGAGGTTTGGTGTCCTGTGTCACTATGTTGAAATAACGGTATGGAGTCCTGTGTCACTACGTTGAAATAACGGTATGGAGTCCTGTGTCATTATGTTGAAATAGTTGTATAGAGTCCTGTGTCACTATGTTGAAATAGTTGTATAGAGTCCTGTGTCACTACGTTGAAATAGTTGTATAGAACGTTGAAATAGTTGTATAGAGTCATGTGTCACTACGTTGGAATAGTTGTATAGAGTTCTGTGTCACTACACTGGAATAGCGGTATAGCATCCTGTGTCACTACGTTGGAATAGCGGTATGGTGCCCTTTGTCACTAGGTTAGAATAGTTGTATAGAGTTCTGTGTCACTACACTGGAATAGCGGTATGGTATCCTGTGTCACTAAGTGAGAATAGCGGTACGTTGTCCTGTGTCACTACGTTAGAATAGTTGTATAGAGTCCTGGGTCACTACGTTGAAATAGTTGTATGGTGTCCTGTGTCATTACGTTAGAATAGCCGTATGGTATCCTGTGTCACTACTTTGGAATAGCGGTATGGTATCATGTGTCACTACGTTGGAATAGCTGTATGGTATCCTGTGTCATAATGTTGGAATAGCGGTATGGTAGCCTATGTCACTACGTTGGAATAGCTGTATGGTATCCTGTGTCATAACGTTGGAATAGCGGTATGGTATCCTGTGTCACAACGCTGGAATAGCGGTATGGTGTTCTTTGTCACTACGTTGGAATAGCGGTATGGGGTGCTGTGTCATTAAGTTTGAATAGTTCGAGCAGTTGTTCTTATGGTCCTATAACACACATTGCTTTTGACGAAAATGCCACAGGGCCGATTTGGGCCGATCTAAACTTTACGTTGACTTCCACAGGGCCGATCTAAACTTTACGTTGACTGTCACAGGGCCGATCTGGGCCGATCGGCTTTTAACGAACTTTTACGTCACGCGCGGCATTGTCTATGACGTCATCAAAACATATGTGCTCGGCGCACTAGCGTGAGACGTGCATGGAACTGCTTGTTCTGTGAGGCAATATATGCTAATCTTTTATTCATTGTAAAAACCTATATCAGTAACGCAAACGCACGTATTATATACCAATGGAAAGCTGATAACCTGATCTGGAAGCTCATATATATTATGACAGACTTTCCCTGTTCTTTAAATAATTCATTCAGAGAAGAGCGTAAAACAAAAACATAACGTCACCATTGTTTAAGAATATTTTAATGCAGCCTCCAGACGAATATAAGCAACTTTAGCAAACATGTATCATAACAAACTGTATATACTCTGAGCACTGTTTCCTACTATCCTAATACAGATTGGTGGAATTTCTGATTTATGGATATTTTTATGTTTTTTTCTTCTGAATTTTCCGTAGGTTTTTTTTTAGAGAACTGCTGCAAGTGCACAAATCATTCAACAATAAACTAAGCTCTGTTTTATGCAATGCAACTCTCTATGTAACAATTTAGGCGCGAAGAAAAAAATATCGTAGATTGAGACACAGATGAAAACAAGTTTTCATAAAAAACGTACATATATAAAGTACATATGAAGAACAAATTGAACAGAATGTTACAAGGTTTATACGAAATCGGACGTGTCACTGTTCTACACAACAATGTCCTCTTCTGCAGTGGCGATGCACTCCTCTCAAATACAGGGTACACTGGGTTCGACTCCTACGCCGGCGTCCAACACCTCCCTCCTCCCTTCGCACACTGCAGTCTTTTTCTTAACCTTCTTTTATTACTTCAATCCTGACACAACGCCGCACTCTTCTTCTCACTTCTCCAGCAAGGGACTCGACAACTAATTGCGTAAATTTTAATCGTGTTTTCACCGGCTGGTCTGATGTGTTCTTTGAGTACAAAGTACAAAATATACGCATTAAGCATAACCCTGTGAAAGACATGCAGTCTTATTTTCTACCATAGCATCCGATATGTCAACTCCACCCATGAAACGGTTATAAGTCGTCACAACATGAGGTTTACCGTTGATTATAGAGGCAGGTAAAACAGTGCTGAGCAAACGGACAGGTTTGTGTGCTCTCCCACTTCTATGTGACATTCAGAGGATGTTTCCCGACCTCATGAAGACGCTTCCTCCGGCATTTGGATTAGCATCTTTTATTGTTCTTGGCATTGGCCTATTTTTTCTGAGAGTACCGGTCAAAAACGTGCCGTCTATTAGCAAAGATCTTGCTAGCGATATTGAACTAAAAAATTGTCACAAAAGATATGGTAACCTTTGTGTAAAAGTTCACAAGCACGCATGAGTTCCATTCGTTTACACTACAAGTAACGAGGGCGCGTTCGATTCATGAACGTGTTGAATGAGTTAAATAGCCCAATGGAGTTTTATGGAATCGAATCAAGAGTGCTACTGGATATCTATCTGATATATCTTTGTGCTGTATCGACTCTTGTCAAGAAACATGTATCGGTATTGTATAGAGCACGAAGCGTTCTGTAAACTAAAAGTTGCTTCAAAACTTAACTAATCAGCAACCGTGTTTGATGATGTACTACCTCGACGAGAATGTATGCCCAGCAAATATTGGTTAATATGTTTTGAACTGGAATATATCAATATATATTAATTTGCAAAAGAAAGCAGGTATGAAGCATAATGTTTACTCAAATATTTTCTTCCTGCAGTATAATGTAATAGTCATCATAATGCATAATAAAATATCCGGAACATGCACTTTTTAACCGAATCAACCCATTTGTTACTTGCAATAATATCTCACCTGTTAGTTTGTCTCACGAATTCCTTCATCAGGTTTACAGTAAAAAAATAAAATTAAAAAGATAGTCAACTGGTTCCGCATCACGTTGGGGCATTTGATGAAGTTGAGGTGCCACTGGCGGAATGCCATTTCTCTCGGGCTCTGGAGGAAACACCGTTATCCAAGGTCTGTTGGCCATGTTTTTGGTAGGAATGACGTCATGAACTTTTTGTTTACGTCATATCATCATCTTTTACGTCAGCAAAACTTGTCCTTCCCCGACCCAGGATTTAATAAGGCTGATCATTTTGTTTTGTTTTAGAATTCGGTTTACGACAGTGTTATAGCAGACGAATACCAGTACGATATAACGAAGATGGTTCAATGATGGCGTGCCAGTGTGCGCACTTTAGTCGAAAAATATAATAATTGAACAATGGCGTAACTCTTTAGAAAGTATAGCCCTACATATTCGAAATCCAAGGTCCTGAACTATTGTCGATAGAGTAACCCTTGGATTGAGTAAATGTACAAAATAGAGAGTATGTTCTAGCATTACCTACAAACATGTTGATGTACACAAAGTCGCATTCGTTGTTATATAGTGACGGCAAAACCTACAGGTTTCTATATTATACTAAATTTCTGGCTTGTGAAACAGTTTAAGAACGATGTACTGGTAAACATTAAACGATATAAAGTAATAAATAATGATTTCAGCTTTCCATAAAGGTATGGCATGTGGTTCTGGGTGACCATAATAGTTATATATGATCTTTTGAAAAAGATCTAATTCAACATAGATTCTATTTCTTTCAGTACGCTTGACGTCCTGGTAAAACGTAATTGGGTCTACGCATATATTTTTGACGTCATAGTTCAACGACGTCATCATAGGAAATTTGAAAGCCACGATGAAAACTGTGCCTGACAGAAAATCAGGGTTTCACTGTGGCAGCGAAAGGGTTAATAAAGCCCGGTACATGTATGATGTCCTGTGTCATTACGATGGAGTAGTTGCATGACGTCCTGTGTCATTATATGATAATAATTGTATGATGTCCTGTGTCATTATATAATAATAGTTGTACATGTATGATGTCCTTTGTCATTACGATGGAATAGTAGCATGACGTCCTGTGTCATTATATAATAATAGTTGTATGATGTCCTGTGTCATTACGATGGAATAGTTGCATGACGTCCTGTGTCATTATATGATAATAGTTGTATGATGTCCTGTGTCATTATATAATAATAGTTTTATGACGTCCTGTGTCATTATATAATAATAGTTTTATGATGTCCTGTGTCATTATATAATAATAGTTGTATGATGTCCTGTGTCGTTATATAATAATAGTTGCATGACGTCCTGTGTCATTATTATATAATAATAGTTGTATGATGTCCTGTGTCATTTTATGCGAGTAGTTGTACAGTGTCCTAGACTATTACGTGAAAATCGGCCATCATGTTAACCTTTTAGATATTTGCCCTTTTTTTGCAGCCATATTCAGAGGACCGATATGATTAACTGCATCCATATTACTTTGCTGCTGAGATGAAGCGTACATTGTATGTGGATATAGGAAAGAGCAAAACATCTTTTTTACTATAATACAGTTGACATACAAATTATCGTGAACAAGTATATACACATAGAGACTCTGAAATCATCAAATAATCATGATCTAGATAAATATATGACATATCGTTTCTTCAGTGATAAGTCACGTAGCAAATCTAGTTTAAATGAGATTTTGCAGATTTGAAAAGTCGAGAAAGTCTTTTTTTAAATATCATATAACATCACATCAAATTAAATCGAATGCAAGATTTGTTTTTATACATTAATGTTAATATTCTTAACATCGTCAATTTGAATGCAAGATCATTGTATACAATGTGACGTCATAATAGCATGACGTCATGTCTTTTGACCTTTTTCTGATGTCACAACGATTGTTACATTGTTTTTGGTGTAGTATTACACATAAATAGCATGGTTATATTCACTGCATAATATGGTTCATGCATCTTGCGATGAAAAAACCCATATCAAACTGAAATAGAAATAATATGTTAATATTCACACACAAAAAAAAATCATCCGAATGTTCGCCTTATTATATTATTTACTAAACACCTTACGCAAAAAAACTGAGCTTCATCAACGTTTAAAAACCTCCTTTTTGTCAATGAAACCATATTTCTCTATTAAACATCACTAATACCGTACGCATTTTTGCTATGAGTGTTTCTCTTTAACAGTATAGTATATTCTGAATTAAGCGTCAGAACATTATTTTTACCACTAGAGGTTTCATAGTTCGAACGTAAGCAGCAGAGTAACAAGTCGGCGAAATGGCGCCGGAAGTTCTGGCTGAAGATGCAGTAAAGGATTGGATTAGCAGCTGAGTTGACGTAGGCTAGAATAGTAACGAACACAAGGTAAACCCAGGTGTCCTGGAAGGATGAGCGCCAGAAGGTGTTGTACACAAGGAGGATCTGATGGGGAGAATAGCTGAGGAAATAAATAAGAACACTGGCGATCAGCATCTTCACCACAGCTCTCCGTCGTTTAAGAGCGTCAGACAAACGTTTGTGATCAACGTTCTGACGACCATTGCCATGAAGCTCCTCTACTCCCATGAAAAGAGTTTTCCCGATCACGATGTAGCATATCACCTGAATGATGAGTGGGAGAAAGTAAAACAGCGCCGCCTCTACGTATTTGTAGAGGAGGTAACTGCTCATGCCATGTCCTGGGAGTATGATCTGACAGAACTGTATCGTGTCGTGGTAACGATAGCTGGATATCACTTGATTAAACATTAAAGTTGGACTTCCGAAACCAATAGACAGCGTCCAAATTACCACTATCACAATTAGTGTATGTCGCCGAGTGCACATCAGATGGGCTTTTATCGGGAAGATGATTGCTATGTACCTGAAACAAAGAAAATAAGATATATTATAAAACATAAAGTTGACATTTTATAGTTTGGAACAGTATGTATACTGTGATTATACTCTTATCCCTTGACCATGCAGTGAGAAGGAAAGAATAAGAGAGTCCATCATATATTAAAGATATGCAAATGATCAACATGACGTCACTAATCGTATTGAGATGACGTCACGACTCAGTAGATCAGCCGATCAGATACGTCTCATATTTAATATAATTGAAATGACTTATTTGGATGCATTTTCTAGTAAGGATTAAGAAAAATTAATACCACAATATCTTTGTCAACATATTTCACATGCCCTTTGCGTGTCTTCTAAATGAATGGACAATGTGACAAACGTGTTTGTTGTGTGCAATGTCTGTGAAATCTAAAACCGTTTACAAATCATTTATAAACAAATCTGACAAAACATGTAAAAAAATTAACATGTAACTCTTGAAGGTATACATCAAAAGTGTTTTATGTTAGATGTTCTGGTACTGTAAAAGTCTAGCTTGCAGCAAACTGTTATTATTGTCCATTCTCTGCCTTCACATCAACTTCAAATATTTGTTCTGATTGACGCTACTGTTTACTTATCAAAGTTAACAGCATTAAACCACCTAAAATCTTCAGTATCATTCTGACATTAAAGTTTAAGAGGTTTTCTCAAAGCTTCATTTTTTTTGTTGATGACTTTTCGGTATTTACAGTATTATAAGGCCAACATGGAGCACTTGATATAATTGGATATCAAGGAGCTATAGACATCAGATAAATGAATGGTACCATTGGGACATCGTGAGAGTGATTGATAGAAATACAATGTACGACTTCAGGAATGATTATAAAAATCCGACTGACACTTGCCGTGTTCCTATGAAAAGTTAACATCATTAAGCAACCCAAAATCTTTATTATCATTCTGACATTTCATTTTGAGTGGTTTTCTCAAAGCCTCTTTTTTCGTTGAGGACTATTCGGCATTTAGAGTATTATAAGGCCAACATGGAGCACTTGATATCGTTGGAAATCAAAAAGCTATACACATCAGAATGACGAATGGTACCATTGGGATATCGTGGAAGTGATGACTATAAACACGACGTAAGGAATAAACATACAATGTAGTGAGTTGATGCAGTGAAACTAAACAAAGAAACACTTACTGCACTATGGCCATTCGGTTCATTTAAGATTCATCGGTTGTATGTATTGAAGGTCAAAACACAAACATCCATGTCTAAAGTATTCCGAAACATAAACATCCACGTCTAAAGTATTCCGAAGCAGATTTTAAAATGCACCAAGAGGGAAACATTCCTGCTTTGTAACGTTATAATAATAATAATAATAATAATTTGAGGTTCTTATATACCACTTTATCAAAACCTAGTGCGTAGGTCGTCTCAAAGCGGTTCACAAATTATTATCCGTGGTTATAGGGACTTTGCAACCAGCCAAGATCTTTCTCCGTTGCTGCCATTTCGGCGCTCAAAGCTAGCAATCAACAATTCTAGCACTGCCCAACCACGTACTCATTTCCAGTAGACTGGAACAAGCGGAGTTAAGTTTCTTGCTCAAAGATACGACACAGTGCCGTACCGCGACTCGAACCCGCAACCCTTCGGTCACGAGCCCGGCATCATATCACTAGACTACCGTGCCTCCTAACGTTGTTAGTCATGCCTGTCCTTTATAACCTTTGGAATTAGCAACTTTTGGCTAAAACCGGTAACAAATTCTACAAATAAATTTTCATGTACATCTTACCAAGAAAAAATTAGTCTACAAGGTTACGATCAAACCTCACAGGCTGAGAGTTTATCAGAATTGCCAACCTTGTGACGTAAAACTGACACTTAAATACGTAGTAACGAAGTATCTATAAGTGACGTCAACAGTAGAAAACTGTGTTCTGCACCATATAACCATTTCGTCCCTAATTATCTCGTCATGGTTATAAGGTCAAAAGAATGGCGAGTCAAACAACCGGGGTCTTAAAATAGAAATATCAGTAAGGAGTGTAAATTAAAACACAAGCAGATACTAAACAGTTTACCAATGACGTCACCAAATCTGTAGACTTTATTTCATATAAAACAGTAATTTGAGATGTGCGGACGGTGTAACGAAAATGGCAATAGACAAGAAATATACGGTAGTTCTCCAGCTTGATGTCAATGAGTGCGGTCATGTAGGACACATATTCTACACAGGTGATGCGTGTCTTGCATGCGAATGTATAATTTGATATACAATGTAATACGATAGTGCTACGCAAGTTCCATATTCAATTCCAAGGAAGAAAGAACCGTTATCCTCCTGAAGTCATTTCCGAGCCAATGAAAGAATGTTCGTGTTTATCCTTGTACAACGTATCAATTCTAAACAGATTGATTAAGCTAATTTGGAAATAAGTTGTTTTTTTGTTCAGGATTACATACTCAATATCTGTTTTCCTTGACATCATCCTCTCGGGCATGAACTTATTGTAATCTATCCATTTTGACGAAGAAAACAATTTTATTTCTGTATAACTCTTATCGTAGTTTGTTAATGAAACTCGCACGCTAAATTAACGCGATCCTGCTGAAATGAACATGTTAAACTTAGTGTAATTATCCTCCGTTTCTATAGCACCGAGATTAATACGGCGGAAGCGTCGACTGTGCCTCGTTTTCGGTTCCAGTGTCAAATCATTGGAGCAATGACGGACGAGTATCAGTGGCCATGGGGTTTGAGTGCGTTGCCATTTTCAAACCCAGTCTGACAGCGTCTGATACAATGGTAGGGTCTCCGGGGACAGACGCTACTAGTTTGTAATTATTGTTATTCACTGTAGGTTAATTTCGCCAAATGGTACACTCTGAAGCTTGTCCGCTGTCGCCTTTGATGGAGAATGGTTTCCCCCGTCATAGCAATTTTCCTTATCGCTGACCAAGGGCTGTACATTAACCATCAAAGTGTGACAGGCGCACTCCGTTCGTACGAATATATCTTATAAATTTCAATAGAACATTTCCCTTTCTTACGCGTCAGAATTGGCTGGAGATTATCAAGCACCTGGGTCTATCAGGTTAACTCCGTCCTCTTGTGAGTTGGCCTACATTACAGACCGACTAGTGATTCAATATCGCAGTAGAGCAACTGTATACTGTGTCAAGCTAACTCCGTTTAGAATACCGTGCCAACCCTACTTTCATATAACTGAGTCTGCGCAATTGCCCATTTGTGTTATCCATACAAAAATATTCATTTGTATTTTGCATTCATTCTTTGGTCGCTGATATGTTTCATTTCGTTTTCCGTTATAGCGTTCGCAAATTAATAACAAAAAAAGATAAATATATAAATAAAATAAACACACCTGCCTATTTGCTACATAACGCAAATACACCAAATGAAAAAACTTCAAATTATGCAAAACCCTGTGCGTTTTCCGGGTAATTTTCGAAGATGAAGCCCGCAATGATGGTTCTATATCAATTGCCTCCGTCATGGTATCATACTGTAACCAAAGGCTGTGTCTTCTTCTCATTATAATTTAACGACGTCACGATAGGTCATGAAAGCATAATACTGAAGTGTCCTGAGAACTTTACTTCAAACTCAACATCCATAAAACATGTGAAAATACAAAATAAATAATAATATATTTGTATAGAGACCTTTGAAAAGTACAAGGAAAAAGAATTGGCGTTCCGGAAGGGTAAGCGTCTTATACGGCATCGCCGCCACCCGCCTTTTAAATTGATCATATTAGTCATATTCAAGTTGAAGAAGTTTCAAAGAGAAATGTACCCCTATGCAAATATAATTCTTGCTTTCCGAGAAAGAAAGTGATATGAAGCCGTTACTGTAGTCTTAATATATATATATATACGTAAAGTGCCTTGTAGCAGAAATTAAAAAGAGTCAGAGCTGAGAGAGTACACTGAAATAATCACTCAAACACAATTGTTTTTTCAGCAATACATTAGTAACATTATTAGTAAAAGTTAATGTTAGATTGTCAAGTGATTATATTTTACATTTCCCACATATTTACAATTATTCAATCTGCTATGTGAAATGACAAAGCATGGCATCCGCATACCAAATGATTCTATGATTCAATAATTAGAGGGAAGCGCCTTAAGCTACGTATGAATATAAATGATGAATTAATGAAATCCAGTGTTACGTTTCCATCCATGTCGTTTTACATCTCGAAATAACTCATGCTTTCATCAAATGCCAAATTTAAATTCCTCGCTATCAAGTGCACCATTCTCTTTAATGATCCAATTTTAACAAAGACATGCCAATCCGTTTTGCACTCCCGACAGAGTGATTTTATTTCAGAAAATCTGCAGAAACCAGGGGAAAGAAGCTATCTTTTATTACATTTGTTATCAATTTATAATTGCAAAATACCACAAGATTTCGAAATACATGCACTTCTATAATTGTACAGCAACCGAGAGTTTTACGAATTCAGACTAATGCAACAGCTGTTATACCAAGGAGCATAGATGTCGGAATAGACTCATGGTTACTTCACTAAGAAATATCATAGCCATGTTATATACATGTCTATATAACTCCGTTATTGCTGCTTCGGATGTTTCGGTATTACCCTGTTTGACCATTGCTTTGTCCGTCCTGACTTCTATTTGTTCCTACGCAAGCTGATTTATATTCCAAGGCGACCTGTCAGACTAGTTCAATAACAGGCTGCTATAATGATGGCCCCCTTGTGATGAATAACGTCCTTATATGTCCCAACAGTTCTATTTTCATTACGTTTGAATGATTGCTTTGTTGCTGTAGATTACGTTGGCTTACTTATACTAAATCTCACGAGCGCCGATATGCATAGGAATGATCAGCATTAGGTTACGACTGTAACGTGACTATCATCGTTATGAGTTACATGGTTACGTATCTCCTAAATAATGTCCCGAGAGAACAAGATGCTTACATATCCTACATAAGAAGTTATGACGAACCC